CTGTCATACAAACATCTTAGATTAAATATACAGGGTGTTCATAAATTAAAAAAACACGAAAATACTCAAGAGAGAAGTACCATTATTTATTATGTTACACAACAATTTTACGAAACAAATCTGTTTATAACCTCAAATAATGTACTAATACAAATTTTAAAATCAAAATTTCAATTTTGACTTTGACTCTATATGGCTTTGCGAATAGTTTTGAGGGCCATTTAATTCATTTATTTCTTCTCGTATGCGCTCTTTTAATACTTCCCTATCGTGTGGCAAAATGTACGAAAAATTTATTAAGTTAGCGGGAAAATGTGTTGAAGTGGGAGGTAGCGCTATGTAGAGTAAAAGTCAAAATTGAAATTTTGATTTTAAAATTTGTATTCAGACATTACTTGAGGTTATAAACAGATCTGTTTCATAAAAATGTTGTGTAAAATAATAAATAATGGTACTTATAGAACTTATACTAGTACGTGTAGTACTTATATAGTATTTTCGTGTTGTTTTAATTTATGAGCACCCTGTATATCTAATCTAAGATGTTTGTATGACAGTCTCATTTTTTCGAGAAGCAGAACTTTTATTAAAGAGTGACATTTTTCGATAAAGTTAAAAACAAAAAAGTTTCTCCCCTTGTCAACTCCATCCGTGGACAGTGGACACACTATACATACAGGGTGTTTCATAATTGGATGTCAATATTGAAGGGTGTTAATCTGTGCGTGATTTTAAGACAAAAAGTTCATATAAACATAGGTCCGTTTTCGCTTTATTTTTGATATACAGGGTGATGAATATCTGTTTGTAAAATTGTTTTTTTTTAATAACTCCGAAACTAAATTAGATAGTTTTATAAAACTTAGTATGTGTAAACTAGGTGCAGAGACACGTCTTTTGCATAATAAACGAATTTTCATTTTTAACCAGTGGCGTCCCAATTAACTTCAACCTCATTATTTTGAATGAAAAAAATGATACGCCACTGCATTTTTGAAAAACAAAAATTATTGTATAAATGGTGCTTTATTTTGTAATAAAAAAGATCTCTTGAGTTTTTTTCTTATCTTGCACTGTTTTTTAGTAAAAAAATAAAGAACAACATACTAACCCACATTGAGCCAAACAGAAAGCATGATATAAAGATTACCTAGTAGGCTGTGGTTGTTGATTACTGTTGTGATTTATTAATTTTGACAGTTCAGTTCATTCAACTCAATTTTGATACTTAAAATACCTGTACAGTGTTATTTGATAATGGTTGAGTTTACTAATCAAGAGTTGGCAGACATTCATTACATGTATGGCTTGGCTGATGGCAGAGCGCCAGAGGCTAAACGATTATATCAAGAGCGTTTCCCGAATAGAGTCACACCAGATAGACGAACATTCTCAAACATACATAGAACGTTGGCTGAAACAGGTACTTTTAAGCCAAATAATCAATTAAAAGGTGCCCATCGGACTACTAGAACTCCAGAAGTTGAAGAAGCAGTTTTAAATTCAATTGATGAAAATCCTAATATTAGCACTAGACAAATTGGAAATAACTTGAATATCTCGCACATTCTAGTTTGGAGAATTCTTCACGATTTTCTGTTATACCCGTATCATATTCAACGGGTCCAAGCCTTACTTCCTCGAGATTTTCCTTTGCGAATCAACTTTTGTCAATGGTTTTTGGAGAAAATTGCGCAAAATCCCTTGTTTGACTGTGAAATAATGTTTACAGACGAAGCTAACTTCTCTAGAAACGCTATAAGAAATTTCCATAACAATCATGTTTGGGCCGAAGAAAACCCGCATGCAATTGTGAACTTTAACAATCAAGAACAATTTTCCGTGAATGTTTGGGTTGGAATTGTTGAAAATCACTTAATTGGACCTTTTTTTCTGCCACAAAGGCTAGACGGCCGTACATATCGTCGGTTTCTAGAGGAGGATTTGCCCGTATTACTTGAAGAAGTGCCACTTTTAACTAGAAATAGAATGTGGTTCATGCATGATGGTGCACCAGCTCATTTCCATCGAGAAGCAAGAGAATATTTAAATCGCACATTTCATGACCGATGGGTAGGCCGTGGTGGACCCCAACAATGGCCCCCCAGGTCCCCAGATTTGAATAGTGCGGACTTCTTCTTATGGGGGCATCTGAAAACTCTGGTTTACAACACTCCGGTTAACACTGTAGAAGACCTGAGGAATCGCATAAGAGCTTCCTGTGATGTAATAAGGAACACTGACAACATTTTTCAAAGAGTCCGCACTAATATGAGAAGAAGAGCTGAAGCATGTATCCTTGCAGGTGGAGGGCATTTTCAACAACTGATGTAATTGTTTGTTTTTTTCGTTTCACAAAATTGTTATTTGTTGATCGTCAATCGTAATTATTAATAATATTATACAATAATGTGTATAAGTTATCTAGTAAAAGAATTATTTCCATAAAATGTGTAAAAAGTACTTCATTCCACGTACAGATAATTATTGTTGTTCTTTATTTTTTTACTAAAAAACAGTGCAAGATAAGAAAAAAACTCAAGAGATCTTTTTTATTACAAAATAAAGCACCATTTATACAATAATTTTTGTTTTTCAAAAATGCAGTGGCGTATCATTTTTTTCATTCAAAATAATGAGGTTGAAGTTAATTGGGACGCCACTGGTTAAAAATGAAAATTCGTTTATTATGCAAAAGACGTGTCTCTGCACCTAGTTTACACATACTAAGTTTTATAAAACTATCTAATTTAGTTTCGGAGTTATTAAAAAAAAACAATTTTACAAACAGATATTCATCACCCTGTATATCAAAAATAAAGCGAAAACGGACCTATGTTTATATGAACTTATTGTCTTAAAATCACACACAGATTAACACCCTTCAATATTGACATCCAATTATGAAACACCCTGTATATACAAAAGTGTTGGTACAAATAATATAACAGAAAACAATGAATGCACATATTTGCAACTCGATACTAAATTTTAATTAAACTGCAGGATTCTTCCAGTACACATTAGATTTAGTTCTGAACCGTCTGAAGTCTGCGCAAATTGAATTTAGCGTTCCAGCAACTGCTGAACTAATTTCCAAACTTCTTAAGGGTGTTATATCAACAATTTGAAATTAAATTCAAAATAGTATGAATGCTATAAAATACCGGAATAAAGAAAAAAATGTTACAGTGACAACGTTCTCATTTTATAGGTATACTAAATGTATAAATTAGTATTTAGAATTGAAATTTGCAACTTTTTATAAAATATGTATATGTTTATTCGTTTAGCAACCTTGTAACGAACCTTTATTAATTTATCTGTTAAGTATGCGATAAACTATTATTTTTTCCTATGTTAATAATGTAAGCGTTGAACTCTGTATTTATTGTGGGTCCGCGTACTAACATCCGATGAACCGTTAATCTACGTCACAAATCGGCTATAAAAGCCGACCTCCCGCACATGAGATGCAGTGAGTTCCGAGCGAGCAGCCGAGCCGAGAGACGTGTTTGTGAAGCGAAGTAGTGAGTGCGAAGGAACAGTGAAGTGGCGGTCCCACAAACTGTCTTTTATAAGACAAATATTTCGGCCTTTATTAAGGCTACCGAAGCAGAATTCGCAATACTTATTGCAATTTCGCAATATTTCTAATAACCGACGTTTTCCAAGCCTAGGCATAGAGAACCCCGGTATTTGTGTTTCAGGTGACAGTGCTCGGGAGGAGGGCACGATGTCTAGGTTGTCGACGCCGACTGACGGCGATGACTCCAATGGTAGCGAGACGAGTGGCAGTAGGCCTGGCAGTCCTGGCAGTCCGAGATCCACGTCTAGAGAGCGCCAACTCGCAGAAGAAAATGCGAGGGTACGCCAGATGGTGGAAGAACTCCGAGAAGAGCTTCGAGAACAGCGAAAAGCTTTCAAGGAACTCCTAGCCCTAAAAGGACAAGGTTAACCCACGAAGGGCGTTAAACGATGGAAACCCGGAACCTCGTCGGGCTCCGATGACGGGCCAACGACAAGTAAAAAGAAGCCGGTAGAACAGACAACCGCGCCTGTCAAAGAGACCAGGCCCATCGAGAGAATTGAGAAGATGGAAACGACTACCAACGCACAGGACAAGGCCAAAATTCCGCCAGTGGTCCTAAGGAAGAAGGAAGACTGACGGTAGTCAGTAAACGGATGGACTCCAAAAAGATTAAGTTTACAAAGGCTAAGTTAACGGGGGAAGGCATCGCCATCCATCCGGAAACGCCTGACTACCGCCACCTCACACGTGCCCTCGCTGACGAGAGCAGGGAGTGTAATACACACTCTCTCTCCCCAGCGAGAGGAGGCTGAGGGTGGTAGTACGAGGGCTACCGGACGGAATTTCTGAAAAAGAAATCCTCGTAGAGCAAGGTTTTAACCCTTTTTCTGTTTTTAGGACGTCAAACAGGAAAACAAAAGCTCCGATGCCTCTGGTCCTTGTGCAGGTCCCCCAGGAGCAAGAAGACATCCTCAAGGTAACCAGATGCTGCCACCTCGTGGTCCGAGTGGAGGCGCAACGAGCCAGGACTGAGCCGACGCAGTGCCACCACTGCCAGCGATTCGGTCACGCACAGAGTCGCTGCACCGCGGCGGCTAAGTGCGTTAAATGTGGAGAGGGACACCACTCCGGTGACTGCAAGAAGACACGGGAGACTCCCGCAAAGTGCGCGAACTGCGGCGGCGGTCATCCAGCCAGCTATCGGGGCTGCTCCAGCTTCCCCAAGTTGGCGGCGAGAAAAGGGGCCACTGGCAACCAACGCAAAGTACCCACCCAGACCACTACAGAACAAGCTAAGTCAACGCACCCCCCGAAGGCTTTTTTCAGTAAAATGCCATCTCTGTTACAGGAGTAAATGGATCCTCCGAAAAGTGTGCAGTCCCTCAGAATTGCTTCCTGAAATGTCGACGGATTCAGGGGGTGAAAAATCGAACTCGAGGAGCTCTTACCCCGTCTAGACGTGGATGTGATGGCGATACAAGAGACCAAAGTAGAGGACGCACACACTGTTAGGATTCCTGGCTACCTAGTGTATCGCAGTGACCGAAACAGACACGGAGGAGGCGTAGCCCTGCTCGTAAAAAGAGGTATATATACCATATGTTGCAGGTTCTTCAGCTAGAAAACATGGAAGCCGCCGCCGTATCGATCCGTACTCGCAGGTACGGAGACGTCGCCGTGGTGACCTGTTATCAGCCCCCTCAGCTTCCGCTCACCGCTCACGATTTACGCGTGGTCCTGGAGACGAGGCCCCAAACCGTAGCCATCGGGGACTTTAACGCGAAATCGCCCAAATGGCACAGCACAACCACAACCACGCGTGGCAGTGTGCTTCTACAATTCTTGCATAACCACGAGGACGTTGCAGCGTAAGGACCCGATGGACCGACGTACTACGATGCTGTTGGCAGACCATACGTGTTGGATATCACTTTGCTCAGAGCAATACCGATGGCCGCCGACCTAGCGACGCACCACGAGGGGGCGACGAACCATGCTCCTATTCTCCTAACTCTAGGGGACGAGCGTCGCGGTGAGGACACCGTTGCCAAGCGGCGGACCGACTGGGGCCTATTCCGCGCAGAAATGCAACGAATATGCGCACCCATTCCGGTCGTTCGCGACGCGAATGATGAAAATCGTTTCATAAACTTGGTTTTTAAAAAACTTTATTTCTGAAAGATTTATAATACGAGTTGAATACAATGAAGAGTATAGCAGAACTGAACTATATCATATTAATACCTATATTTATAGGTTCGGATTAACTTGATTGTCTTTGCACTTTTTCACAACATTATTCGCGGCAGACTTCGAGGCTGCCCTCGCGAGCCTTGAGACGGATATCCACACCGCCTTGGAAGCCAGCACCACGGAAACGACGGAGAGGAGGATAGCGAATTATGCAGGTGAATTACCTATTATGTTGCAGGACCTAAACAGGGAAAGACATGCGGCGAAAAGAAGAGCCACGAGGACAGCACACCCCCGGGATAAGCAGACGTTAAACTAGCTGAACCGGAGGGTAAAAGCGGCCCTAGAGGAGCATTACGAGGACTCGTGGCAACGACATCTGGAGTCACTGAACCCCGAGGACCGCATCCTGTGGACGATGCAATGGGCGCTGAGGACCACCCGGAAGCCTATGCCTCCGATTCACGGAAATAACGGGATCGTCTACACTAGGTATGAAAAGGCCGAGGCATTCGCCGACAGCCTTGAATTACAGTGTAGGGAAAACCTTCTCGACGACGAAGACGAGGACCACGCCGACGAGGTGGAACGACGCGTACGGCGCTACAGACGCCAACCCGACAGGGACGACATTAGGCCGGCGACACCCGAGGAGGTGAGGGACATCCTGCGGCGCCTCAACCCCCGCAAGGCACCCGGATGCGACCAGATCGGAAATCGAATACTCAGAAAGCTCCCCCACAAGGGAGTGATGGCGCTGCTGAGAACATCCCATTATTTGAATGATTTGTAAAGGGTTCCAAGGGGTGAAACTGAAACTACAATCCGGAGCACTTGTTTGCTTGGTAGGTACGCCAATTCCTGAGACCTTATCTTTAACGTCTATATTCTTATATACAGTTAAAATTTGAACGACCTGCAACTGGTTCCAGGGTGTGAAATTGAAGGAAAACTCTTGGAAATTTCAAAGAAATATCGGTATTTCCCAAATTAAAATCCAGGGCACTTTTCCGCTTGGTATGCTAACTGCTGCGAGGTCAGAGAACAAACTGCTCCGCGATGCATCCATTGTGGTGTTACACTTACTGTCCATAATATAATCTGCGAGTGCCTTCGTAAAGATATACAGAGACAACTTTTTAATATAGCACCGGACCTACAGAAAAATTGAAATAGCTGTGCTGAAATCAGAAAAACTTTGGGATTTTTGAAGGCCAATGATAAAAAGTTAGAGAAAACTAGTTACTTAACCAATCCTAAACTGAAGGAGCCTATGACCTTAGCAGTATGCGCTCCCAAAAAAATAGAATAATAATAATAATAATAATTTCGAATTTTCTTTGAAATTTCCAATAGTTTTCCTTCAATTTCACTTCTTGGCACCCATTGCAAATCATTTAAATTTTAATGGGTTGTTCTCTGACCTCACAACAGTTTGCATTACAAGCGAAAAGTGCTCTGGATTTTAGTTTGGGAGATAACGAATTTTCTTTGAAATTTCCAATAGTTCTTCAATTTCATTTCATGCAAACATATTCGATTAGTGCAGTTTCGAGTTTTGATCTTCACAGAACTTTATTCCTTTTTTATATCAAGTCTATTAATTTTTTGATGACAAAATTAGATTTGTATCGAAAATATGTTGGTGGCGAGAAATAAAATAATTATTAATCCAAAAAATTTACATGAAAAAAAAACCTGAAACATGAAACTNAGATTTGTATCGAAAATATGTTGGTGGCGAGAAATAAAATAATTATTAATCCAAAAAATTTACATGAAAAAAAAACCTGAAACATGAAACTCTGGCCATAGTAGCCATAGTGATAAAATAAAGACTGCAATTATAAGGCCGTATGCAAGAAAATATCTTCTTAAGGGGTAGTACCGCTGTAAAATTATCAGAAAATCTATTTTTTTATTGATTTAAGAAATGCTTTGGACCTTCTAAAATAAGGAGAATAGTTTTAAAACTTTTTTCTTTGAAATTCCCAGCTTTTTCCCAAGCCCGTAGGATTGCTTCGAAGCGACTACCTGGGGTAGATACCTGTTGGAAGGGTACAGACTAATGACTTACCTTTTGATTTCTAATTTCTCTAATACTGCTAACAAATGTTGTTAATACTAACATCATTAGAAAGAGTTTGTGTTCAATTAGAAGCATTTTCAAACGAAAGTATGTTAATATAGCGTATATTTAAAAATTTTAAGGCACGCAACAATTTTCATCCTTTTTACTCCAAATTTTAACCATACCTACATTTAAAATAATATTCCGAAGAGAAGACGGGATTTTCGATAAGTTGATTTTAGCATTATTTATTGACGATTGATTGCCCTTCTTTTGTCAAAAATTTAACTTTTTACTTCATAAATTAATGTTTTCAAAATGCCCTACGTATTTCTCTAACCATATTCATGTAGATTAAGAAAAAATTGTTTGTCTTTTTCCGCATGCAATTTTACGTCAGCGTCGCCATTTTGTACTATTTATGAATAAATATATTTTTTTGAACACTTAAAGACATAGTTAATAACATCCTTGAATATTATTATCCTCTTACTTTTCCTTACATAAAAAAAATCACAAAAAAACCTGACTGAGCGCGCTATTTGGTTTAAAATTTACGCGTTTATTTACGTCTAAAAAAGTAGGCTGCTGCTATATGTCAATTGTATCAGATTAGTCAACAAATATACAGGGGTGTCCGCATAAGAACCTACACAGGGCAGGTGCATGTAGGGGTGTCCAAAATATTGTAATTTAACCAAACTTGCCTATATACAAAGTTGCACTTCTGAGGAGTTATTAACCCCCAAAGTGGGGCCCTAAATTTAAAAAAATAATAATATTCCTGCAACACTTTACCGTAGAAGAACCATATTTGGTACATGATTCAGGTGTATTACTGGTCTTCTTTGACTATGATTTAAAGTTAATTGAAGCACTACAAGGTGTTCATTGGGGATGACTCACCCCTAAAATTGTACCGAACTTTTTTTTCATTGACCGAATTGAAAAATAGTAATATTAATTCACAGCAGAATGTAATTTAGTTTTTGCTCTTGTTAAATTTTAAAAAACTTTATGGTTTTCAAGAAAAACCGTATTAACTGACACAAGCTTTTAACAGTGTTCATTAGAAAATAATGAAGAGTAAAAAAATGTTTAAAATTAAATTCTGCTGTGAATTAATATTATTATTTTTCAATTCGGTCAATGAAAAAAAAGTTCGGTACAATTTTAGGGGTGATTCATCCCCAATGAACACCTTATAGTGCTTCAGTTAACTTTAAATCATAGTCAAAGAAGACCAGTAATAAACCTAAATCTTGTACCAAATTTGGTTCTTCTTCGATAAAGTGTTGCAAAGATATTATTTTTTTTCGAAATTTAGGGCTCCACTTTGGGGGCTAATAACTCCTCAGGGGTGCAACTTTCTATATATAGTACGATCGTATTCGATGCAAAGTAATAAATCATTGCCTGTCAAGGGAATCAGTGCA